AACCTATGGTACATGTTTTTGTAGTGCTTCGTTATATTCTTAAAAAAACCAAATTTTGGATTAAAATCAACATACGGTAGTTCGATAGAGTAAAACTGAATACGGAAAGCCTATATTCTTAAATCATTCCTGCATTTAGAATATCTGATAACATCAACTCTTATTCTTTACACTGTAAAACGATGACAATACCACTGAAAACTATTCTTTAAAACCTTTGCTGTCAACAACTACGCACCACATCCCACATCTATCCTAGAGTATCACAGCACATCCCACATCTTTCCGAGACTATCACAAAAACACTTCACTATCTTTTGCTGTCTGTACTCGGGATTTATTTTCAGAGATGAAAGCCATCTGCAGACAAATTCTAGTCATCACGTACAGTGCATATACAAATGTTAGGAAAGAAACTTTGGATCACTTACCAGGCCCTTCATCTCTCGTCACCAGGGAAGATTTACTTTTCAGCAAGATGCTCTCGAATATATATATAGGGCATCCTGGACGGTCAACAGGAGGTGCCACTTGCTCTGTTCTTACCTTATTTATCCTGCTAAAGAAATGTATGTCTATTAATTCTATAAATCGTACGACATAAAATCACATATTTGTTATAAATTAATAGCATTAATAGAAGAAAAGATGTGTGATAAGTTAATATGCATTGAAAGCAAAGTTGGAATCCGATGTTTATCCTACCGCGTCCTAGGATGTGCTGCAATTACAATAAGACGCCCTAGGACGTGAGGATGAATGACGCACTACGTCGTATAAAGGTGTACGGCAGTCAGCGACAGGTGTTTGTCGCCCCCGTGAAGGAAAATAGAGGAGGGCGATGGTCATCTTTTGTTTTATCACGGGCGTGTTTTGTTGTAAAGTGTGTGTGTGTGAGACTAAATATATCTGTATGCAGTTTGCTTACATATCACAGTCTTCGTTTGATGCAATAAATGAAGAGGTTATTATAATTTATTCGTCTGTGTCTGTGTAGCAAAAGTTTATAAAATTTCTTGAAACTGAGTCTGTCCATTCATCCTCCAAGCTCTCGGAGGTGACCGTATTAGGTAAAATCTGATTAAAATCTTGTAATTTCTTCTATTTCATGAATTTTCCTTTCACACACCACTACTTGGTGAATGTTGTGTGGGCTTAAGAGCGTAAACCTTTGGAGTTATAAAGTGCGTTCGAAGATATATCGCATGTTCGACTTTAAGTGTCTTTTTGTTTCATTTAAAGGTGAAGGTCAGTTGACTGTGTGACTGAGCAAAATATTTCACAGACAGTTTGACCGATTCTGAAGGAACCTGGTAGATCGATTGAGGGTTGGCCAATGAACAAATACGTTTAAAGAGAACGTTTTAGGTCAAGGTCAAAGTGCTGCCTCAGGGTTGTAACCTGTGTTGCGACGACTATCTTTCTAGTTACTTATGTGTGGGTAGGTTAGGCTAGGTTAAGTACACTGTTCCTTTGGGGTGTTGTCTCAGCCTGGAGAAGTAACCTTGAGTGGTCACACCTTAAGGGAAGAGACATCGCCTACTGCCCCTCCTTCCCACGCTCTCCATCCACTGGTCCAATTTTCCTTCATCTCTCTCTCTCTCTCTCTCTCTCTCTCTCCGGTCCACCCTTCCACCATCTACTCTAGATTCTACAGTACCTCTATCTCTGCCTCTCTCTGGTCCACCCTTTCATCATCTATCTCTGTTTTTCCATCCCTCTCCCTTCCTGACTTTGTAAGCCTTATCAGAACCTCCCAGAGTTGAATTTCGTGATGATGAAGTTCACCGAATCCTAATTTAGAGGGATAATTAATGACGCTTTTCTACCCTTTTATTTTTTCGTAATTATTCTTTATTTAGTTAATATGGATGTTTGGTTATAACTGTACGAGTATATCTTTTGTTTCGACAAGGGTACAAAAATATTAATGATAGGAGGTACAATTATAACGATGATGGGAAGTATACAAATACGAAAATTATGGGAGTTAAAAATATAATGGAGGGGTAGAAATGTAACAAACAAACAGATGCGGTTGGCTGGTGTGACTGACGAATTCTGTACATGTATGAAGAGATGTTCGTATAAATTAGTTATGAGTAATAATTATAAGGTTGTATGTTATTAGCATTGTATTAATATTAATCTCCAACACCTTTTTATCGGATTATTATTTGATGTTAATGTGTGTATATGCAAATGCTATAAAGTTTAGATCGGCCGTCTGAATCTTCTGAAAATGGTTTGGCAGGTTAAGTCAACACGTGTGACTCACTCACTCCCGCCCAATAAGGGTTCACGGGCGTTACCTTCTTGTTCTTAGCTCACGTCTGGTGGTCTGGTGGCGTCTGTCTTGATAGACAGACAGACAGTAAGATCGTCATACAAGTTCACATTAATTCGGCATAAACAAAGGGAGTGTAGGTATACAAATATTGTGCATAAACGGTACAGGTATACAATGTACAGTTGCCAGCAAAAGTCCCCCCACAACTTGCTACACAGGGCTGTGGGAGAACTTTTGCTGGCAACTGTACATACACAGTATAGGTTTACAATGTACATAGACAGTTCAGGTATACAATGTACAATATATACACATACACATTGTAGGCATACAATGTGCAACACATAAAAAGTGCAGGTATGCAGTGTACGTAGTGCAGGTACAGGTATAAACTACATCATTTATTAACAGTAGTGCTATTTACTATCACTACAACTATTTGGGTTAACCATTTCTATATTCGCATGTTTTTCACCGTCTGTAGCTTTTATATTCAATGAATTATGTTGGAGGTTCTCTATTCATCTCTGCATAATACCAAAACATTCACTAACAATTTATTTTTAGACAACAAAAATCGCTGTCCCTCTCGCCACAAACACGTATTTTTTCTTTAATGTTATATGGTAAGAGATAAGAATATTTTTAATTCCTTGCTCCATTCAGCAGGTGAGTCAGTAAGGTTCGGTTAAAAATAAATGGTAAGTGTACCCTTGACCCTGGCGTGTGGTGCTCGGTTACTGTACGAAGTTGCTCACCACAGTCTGCTTGCTGCCCCTTGCCCTGACCACACCCTACTAATGCCCCCTACCCCTCTCTCTCTCTTTGACTCACGCGCAGGGCCGGCGCTACCCACTAGGCGAACTAGGCGATCGCCTAGGGCGCCAACATCTGGGGGCGCCACAAATTCAGGGCAAACTTGGATAAAATTAAAAATGAAGGGAAAACTGTGGTGGACACTGTGGTGGAGCCGTGGAGGGTCGGAGCAGGATGTTAGAAGGGTGGGGGGTCGGAGGGAGGCGAGGGTAGGTAGACGGTAGCCGACTGTGTTTTCTTTTTTAATATTATTCGTTAACCCCCCGGAGGGACTAACCCGGGTCCTTATCTTTGGCGGCCTGGAGATCTGTCGAGCAGTGACCTGAAGGCTGACATCTGAGGAACCCTTCTCCCAACCCCACCACCCCCTCCCCTCCCTTACTGCCAGGGTGGCTGAGCCGCCCCTTCCCTGTCTTTGTCGGGATGAGGCAAGGTTACCTGACCTCTGAAGTTTATGTCAAGAATTTATTGACTTAATGTAATAACAATAATTGGTTATTTGCATGGGTGAAGTAATAAAGCCACAAGATGAAAACAATGTAGTCATGGGTTACTGTACCTACATTAGCTTATCAAAACTTTCAAGGGGGCGCACATCTAAAGGCTTGCCTAGGGCGCCAAATCATCTTGCACCGGCCCTGCTCACGTTATAATTGGTTGACTCAGAATGTTGGTCCGGATGACGCATCCCTCCGAAGACTCGCTTTACATATTAATTACCCATAACCACGAGGTCTGAAGTGGACAAGGCGCTTAGACACCACTTTCAGCCCATTTGTTTTATATCGGTTGGTAGAGGTTGGATTAGAGGAGAGAGAAAAACAGATTCTTCGTGTTCTTGCTCTCATCGGTGTTGTCACGTTTGTCACGTGTCATATACTGGTGTCATCTACTACATACCATTCTCCTGTGACCTCTAGTGTTGTCGTGTCATATAGAGTTGTCATATAGCTATACATAACATTCTCCTGTGTCAGTTAGTATTGTCGCGTGTCACATACTATACCATTCTCATGTGTTATGTTACCAATATTTGTTGTTTGTCGCTTCGACTCTACCATTGACTACAGTATTAATACAGTTAACTACAGTTTGATTACAGTTTGATTCTAGTTTGAATCCAGTTCGACTTAATTTATAATCTGGTCAGTCAAGCCAGGATGCCGATTAGCTAACAAAACTGACTACCTTGGACCACCTCACTCCAGCCTTAACCAGATCCGGTAGTGGGCCAGGTGTTGCCTCCTTGTCTCGGGTACTGATGATTAGGTTATATTAGGTTAATATTAAGTTAGGTTAGGTTTAGTTAGGTAAAGTTAAATTTGGTTAGAACTGGTTAAGCTCGGATGAAGAACTGGGTACATGAGCCTAACTGACATCTTTGCCTTGAGAATACGAAGGACAACCATCAAGGGTTGGCCTGTGCTAAGTAAATATACACATTTATTTCATGACTGTAATAAAACTGGTCACTGTTGATTACTGTTGTTGTAGTTTTGAAAAGTGTTTCAGCAATAACGGCTATATCGCCCCTATAGAAGCCTTGGTCAACAGGTATCTATTGTCTGTTGCAGCGAGTTATGGTTTGTATAACTGTGGTATATAATAACTTTGGCAGCTGATGAACCTGTTGTGATCTTTCTGGCTTGAGTGTTTGCGTGTGAGTCTTGTTGTCTGTAGTTCCTGTAGTTTATAGGTAAGAATTATACGGCTTAAATTTCTAGGTGATTTACTCTTCTTAAACGACTCTCTCTTACTCTCTCTCTCTCTCTCTCTCTCTCTCTCTCTCTCTCTCCCCCTCTCTCTCTCTCTCCGGTCTTCTCTTATTTCCTTCCTCAGCTGGTAGGTCGTTACTTATGCTTAACAGGGTAAACTATTGTAATAAAATTTTCAACACGCTCATAAATTTTATTAAGAAGGATGATTTTTACATAGAGTTGTTTCAATAATTCAATTTCAGAGAGATGTAGGGTTTTACAGGAGGTTGATGTCTTGAGGGAATGTTATTTGCTGTACAAAAATCTCATACACAGGTACCTAACATAGTAAAGTAGACGAGGTCTTTACTCTTTGGCCTCAGGGGCCTGTACGAAGGGAAAACCAGGGAAACCGTAGGCACCAGGAAAACCAAAGGCACCAGGGAAACCATAGGCACCAGGGAAACCATAGGCACCAGGGAAACTATAAGCTCCAGGGAAACCATAGGCACCAGGGAAACCATGGGCTGCTGAGAGTCCAAGACCGCTGTAGGTCAGTGGGGTTCCTGCAGCTGTTGGTGTTCCAGCAACTATCTTGTTTCCAACAACCACTGGGGCTCCACCAGCAAATACGGGGGCGTGGATACCGTAGGCACCGTATGGGAGGCTGTTGGTGTAGAAAGGAGACAGTTTGCCGTCGATGGAGGAGAGGAAGCCGGTGTAGGTGGAGATTTTACCATCCAGGTCGGTGTCGGGGGCGGCTTCAGCACGAGCTGCAGCGGCGTCAAAAGCGGCCTGGAATTTAACCTTGGCAGCAGCGACTTCTGCAGTGTCTTCCACTGGGAGGGGAGCACCTTCGGGAACAACCACTTCAGGGACCTCGTCAGCAGCAGCAGCGGCGGCGGCGGCCGCGAAGGCTGTCTTGAATTCAGCTTTGGCTTGTACAACTTCTTCAGTATCTGCCACGGGTACTGGGTCCGCCACAAGATCTGCTGTCTCAACAGGAGCCGCTTCTTCAACAGGAAGGGCAGCGGCGCACGCGGCACCCACCAACGCAAGAATCACCTGAAAATACCAGAAGACTTGTTATTTGAAACACTGACATGATTAACGACAGAGTATTTTTGACGAAGAAGTGAATGTGGGTCCCTGAGTCATGATGGCCTGTTAGGACAGTGTGTATAATATACACAGTGCTAGGGAGCCAGCATGGCCGGCACTGCGCTGGGCAGTCTTCACTTCCCCAATTGTTAAGTACCCATTTATAGTTGGGGGATTAGAAGTAGCCCGAAATTGAACCAACACCCTATAGGACAAGAAGGGAGGAGCGTTGTAGCCATTCTTCCATCATAACCCAAAATATTAGTAACTACTATTTGATTCCTGTTAAATAACTAATTACTGAAATTATTACATTGAAATCGTCATTATAGATAAAAACTATTTCAGAACGAGAATTAATCTGAATCACGATAAATAAATTACACTTAGTTCTGAGTAAACAGCTGGTCAATAGTGTTCACCATACCTCAGATAATTAATGATACGGGAGAACAAAATAACTTAAAACTGTTTGTAAAATGAAGACTGACTGCAAAACGTCGAAGACTTAAAAGGAAAAATTATGAAAACAATTCTAAATTTTCCCAAATAGTACAAAATTATCTCAGAAGTTCTGGTAAGGCTGGATATATTAGTTTTTGGACAATTTCAAATAAAGTTAGCTGGCAGAGATGAATTACTGACTCACTAACAGTCGAACGGACAGATAAACATCAGCATAAATCTATATCAACTTTGCTTAAATTTAAATCTTGTGACATCAACAGACTAAAACACTTTGGATATTCTCACAGCTGAGTGAAATAGATAGAAGATTTATACAATAAGTTCTTAATTCTAGAAGAGGTCAAGGCAGCACTGAAGACAACGAGAGGACGTGGTACTGTATTGGGAGGTACTTACGAGAACCTTCATGTCGGGAGTCGGTGTGTGAGCTAATGTACGGATGAGAGAAGCGACGCAGGCTTTAAATATCCAGAAGGACCACCGGCACCACGACACCGCTGCTTCTGTTTTTCAGGGAAAAAACTGTCGCCAACACCACGCCCATAGTGCTTCCTCCTGCCCTGCCTGCGGGCATTTGAAGGACCTATCACTAATGCATTTGAAAACAATGTATCATCTTTATGAAATATACCGTGTACAGTTAAATATAGAAAAAATCGGAAAGAAGGTATCTAATGCGGGCGTCCTTGGTAGACGGGCGTGGTCACTGCTGGTGGTGCAGTTTTTGTGGCGAAAACTGTCGGGGCATCTCCTGACCCACCCTACTAACGGTGAATCTTCACTTTGTTTTTCGTTCGACGTGGTGAGGCTGTGAGTTATGCATATACTCTACAGTGATAGTCAATATCATGAGGGTTATATCATAAAGAATTATTTAATATAAAATAACAGAAACAAAAATTGTTAATGACTCATTTCCTGTAAGTATCGTATACCGTCTTTTTCGCCGTCATATGTTATAATTAAAATCTTAAAGGATTAAAGAACATTTAGTTCCTATTTCAAGACAAAACTATTTGTACTAAAAAAAAAGTCTTTTAGAATTTAAAAATTTTTCTCACATTTTTTTTAACCATTCTCAGTTTCAAAATAACTGATTTTTGAGCCACAAGCAGTAATTCTTGTAAATCAACTTGCTGATTCATATCATCACCCTTTATGACTTACGCAACGAGAGAGAGAAAGAGAGAGAGTAGTCTGGGTTACCTTGTTGTTCCTCATACAGTACAAGAATAACATTATCAGCTCATTATCACATTTTCCTGTAATGACCAAACTCTGGGAAAACAACATTTCTTTAAGTAAAAAGTAATGAGAGTACCGATATATCTTTTGGCGGATAAAACTTAAACTCTAGAAATACAAATACCATTTACTTGGTATTTTAGATGCCTCAGATAGTTGGTATTTTAGTTTTTAAGGCATATTAAAATGCCGTAGAGTGTGTTGATCGTCCAGTGGAGTGTATTGGTCGTACAGTGAAGTGTGTTGGTCGTACAGTGGAGTGTATTGGTCGTACAGTGGAGTGAGTTGGTCGTACAGTGAAGTGTGTTGGTCGTACAGTGGAGTGTGTTGGTTGTACATTGAAGTGTGTTGGTCGTACAGTGGAGTGTGTTGGTCGTACAGTGGAGTGTGTTGATCGTACAGTGAAGTGTGTTGGTTGTACAGTGGAGTGTGTTGATCGTCCAGTGAAGTGTGTTGGTCGTACACTAGAGTGTGTTGGTCGTACAGTGAAGTGTGTTGGTCGTACAGTGGAGTGTGTTGGTTGTACATTGAAGTGTGTTGGTCGTACAGTGGTGTGTTGGTCATACAGTGGAGTGTGTTGATCGTCCAGTGAAGTGTGTTGGTCATACAGTGGAGTGTGTTGGTCGTACAGTGGAAGTAAGTGTTGATCGTCCAGTGAAGTGTGTTGGTCGTACAGTGGAGTGTGTTGGTCGTACAGTGAAGTGTGTTGGTCGTACAGTGGAAGTAGAGTGTGTGATCGTCCAGTGAAGTGTGTTGGTCGTACAGTGGAGTGTGTTGGTCGTACAGTGAAGTGTGTTGGTCGTACGGTGAAGTGTGTTGGTCGTACAGTGGAGTGTGTTGGTCGTACAGTGAAGTGTGTTGGTCGTACAGTGGAAGTAGAGTGTGTTGATCGTCCAGTGAAGTGTGTTGGTCGTACAGTGGAGTGTGTTGGTCGTACAGTGGAGTGTGTTGGTCGTACAATGGAGTGTGTTGGTCGTACAGTGGAGTGTGTTGGTCGTACAGTGAAGTGTGTTGGTCGTACAGTGGAGTGTGTTGGTCGTCCAGTGAAGTGTGGTCGTGTGGAGGTGTGTTGGTCGCAGTGGAGTGTGTTGGTCGTACAGTGAAGTGTGTTGGTCGTACAGTGGAAGTAGAGTGTGTTGATCGTCCAGTGAAGTGTGTTGGTCGTACAGTGGAGTGTGTTGGTCGTACAGTGGAGTGTGTTGGTCGTACAATGGAGTGTGTTGGTCGTACAGTGGAGTGTGTTGGTCGTACAGTGGAATGTTTTGGTCGTACAATGGAGTGTGTTGCTCGTACAGTGGAGTGTGTTGGTCGTACAGTGGAGTGTGTTGGTCGTACAGTGGAATGTGTTGGTCGTACAGTGGAGTGTGTTGGTCGTACAGTGGAGTGTGTTGGTCGTACAGTGGAATCACAGCCTAATATCTGAAGGAATGTCATGCTGCTGTGTTCAGTTGTGTGTTATTTTTTTTTTTTCGTATGGGCATGAGCTAAGACACCAGGTTTGTGCAACACCCAACCAAAATTTACAGTGTCACTGTTGTGTTCCTGGCTGTTTATGCACGAGTCTGACACCGCTATGACCTGTGGCCTTTACAAATGACATTAAATACTGAATGTATCATCAGGTACTTAGAGAATCCAGCAAGCCAAAATAATGCGGAAGTGATTCCCGGCAAAACTCTTGTGACCTACACCTGATCTTTGCAAGTAACCTTAAATTTTCAAGGCTGTTGACAGGTAAATATGAGAACAAGGATGACAACGTTCTCCACTTCAGACCACAAATAACAAGATGGACATAACTAAAAAACACGACTTTACTTAAACACTACAATTTAAGAGCGAATCTTAGAATTTGAGTGAAATTGTAGGGAAGTTCGGGCATTCTTTCTTGTGGAAATTGAATTTGTAGGTGACTTTCATGTCTTATTGAGCGCGTATGTACGGGGGGAAAATGGCCCTGGTAAACAAAATGAGAAATTGGAGTTTTGCGAAAAAAAAGGAGGAATGCGAAAAACACGTTCAGGTTTACTTTAGATGAGTAAATGGGACTATTGGTATGAACTATTAGAGCTGGTTGAGTCCCTTACCAGTTGCTGAGATACTAATTAACAGAAGAGCGTGTACTCTTTTATAATAGTGAATCCAGCGCCTTGCTCTTGTTACTGCCCACACCCCCTCCTGGGTATAGTGGACCGGTCTCTATATTGACCTTCTTGACTGGACCGCTCGCATTGGCCTCGATGTCTTTATGCACACGCACTGGGGTGAGACTCAGTCCTCCAGCACACACACACACAACCATAATATCTTTTCTCCCAGTCTCTGCTTCAGATCAAGGGCCACGTCTTTGGCTCTATCATTGCGCTCGACTCTTACCCTTAAGCGTCGGGTCTGTGACTTGTAAAGTACTGTATATAAGAGAAACAACGCGTGTATTGTCTACTTTTGAGCGAATAATATTGTCTTTATACCATTTTATCACATGTCACGAGACTTACTCACTGAATGAAGTTATGGAACGGTGACCTGTTAGTTAGACAGACTCAGTAACCTTTAATTGGCTTAATTCTTCATCAGTACAAAAACTCACACATTAAACATCTTAACTCTAATTGGATCATACAAAGGTTTACCCCTGTTGCAGGTGTGGTGTAAAATGTTGCATAATCCACTATGTTATTTCACTATTAATTCGGTCAGGGGTCGATAAAACAACGTGTTAGTGAAATTATTTTTGGGTTCAAAATATTGTTGGCAATACAGTACAGTATTTCATGACTTGACTTGAGACCATGTTGAGGAGGGATGATGCAATCTACAGGCTATATTAAAATGTTTTTGGACATATTTACGTCGATCTCTTACATTTAATATGGAAGAATTCGGCTTTCTTTAATCAAATATCATACATAATTAAATCGTCTGGCAATTTAGCTATAATTAGGTTTTGTTTAATTACGTCTTAACCATAAAATATTACTCTCTTTTCCAATACAAAGCTATTGTAAATTTATTCATGCTGTTCTATATCCAAATCCGTCTATAACTAACTTAAAAATGGATACACTTCAATGACGAAGAAATTATTGTAATATATTCATATTATTGAAACATACTTATTACAAAAGTAAACTTGAGTTGATTGATTTCCGAAATACGTAAAACAGTTTGAAACACATGTCAGTGACGTCACGTAAGGCTTTGGATCCGAAGAAGGGTTTGGTGGCCAAACTTGTCTCGTGTTCGATTCGTATCACTTCTTATGAAATCCAAAATATAAGATACTGAAATCAGAATATTAATGTTCTTCCTTACGTAACGTATCACCATGGAGCCATGGAACCCTGTTGCGTAATTAAGTGCAAATATGTTCACCTTATAGCTTGGATATGTAGTCCTAAATATGAAGAAAGTCATGAGAATTTAATGAGACAACGCACTACGTGATGGGTGAATCTCCGAACTGATGGTTTACGAAGTAGTTCATGAAATCGGATCTTTAGACTCGGCCGACGCTACACGCGGATACGCCAGCGCCGCCAGTCTGCCATAAGCCACCCATCTAATAACATTACTTTGTGTCGGGAAGTGCTCTGCCGAAAACTAATTTGAAAATTTCTACAACATAACAACTGCGTGAAAAAAAGTTTAGTGAATAATGCCATAATTGGGTTATATAACTCATAAAAACAAATTCAAAGGTTAAGGATTTACTTAATTGAATAGGTTGCCGGCTTTATTGCCAAAGTATTTAGAATTGCCAATTTGGCCAATTTATTACTCTAGATTTCTAACTGAACTTTGCCGTACTCATATGTTCATTCACTGTTTTTGTTATTGTATTGTCTCTTAATATCACAAAGACTTCGCCATGTCTATCCGTTCACAAGTTTTATAATCTGAGCGTCACGAGGAATAAGAAAATGGCTCTGTGAAAATCGTAGATATACTGTACTGTAATTACTTTTAAGGATTTCAAAAATCTTTTAAAAAACGGTAAATGAATAATGATCTTACATTATGTTCTCAGTTTCCATAATTATTTCCCTTTTACTGATGATAAAACTCATGATAAATAATTCATGAAGCCACCCATCACACGTCAAGATGGTAGAGGGAGCTTGAGTTGTCCTACACTTCGCGGGTGTTTTGCGCAACGCCTAAACTTTATTGGTTGTCATTCCTCGAGGAAATACTGACCCACACGAACCTTAGTTAAGAAGTTTGTGGTAATAGTTATTTACCTTATTTTTGTAATGAAATGTGATATTCACTATTAGTTACAGGGTTATATGTACAGAATACGAAATCTCGCTCGACTGTATTGCGGGTAGTACAGTAGTTTACAACTACTATTCGTGTTGCGGAGCCACTCAAAGAAAAACATATAAAAGGGAACTTGGTCAATTTGATAGTAGCCAGGTTTCCTTTTTCTGTAAATACGTTATCACATATTTCAAATTATTCTGCGACCCTTTTCTTCTATGGCATTTCCGTCGGAAATTAAAATAGTTAGAGTATTTTAATTAGATATATTACCAAGAATATTAGGTATTATTGTATTTCCGCACACATTCTTACCCGTAATATGTTATAATATTCGAATAAGACGTCTAATTACAAGATAATTTTTTTCTCTTACCCTACCGTCGCAAATGTATAATAACCGAGATAGCGTATCCAAAACTATCTCTATTTTCTTCCATTAATCTTTCGCCATTATCGCCTACCTCACCTCCCACACTGTGTCTCCTTCATAAATCATCACGAGTATGCGTTCCGTACACGTCACTCTGTCAATCAAAAGCGTTTTATTTTTAGCAACTAGTTAAAATGATTTGTGGTTTAATTCGCAGTATTTTTGGGTGTCATTTCAATTATATGGAGCTGATTGCGAGTTTGAGGGAAAGAAAAAACACAAAGAAACTATAGCATTTTTTCGATCTCATGGTGTTCTCCCGACCTCAGTAAAGTGTCCAAAGTGCAAGCTGCCTGCTTATACGCCCCGTTAAACGAGAATCAGCGTCAGCAACTTGTACTAATCTCAGAATCCAACGACGAACGAGAACCAGGCCAGTAAGGTAAGAAATAAGTGATTCCATCATATGGTGAGAGTCAGTTAGATCGAATTGAATTGAAACAGTTTATTTAGCCTGAAAAACACAGATACAAAGTGGATAATAAGAATAACAATATTAACATGGCTGAGCCAGTTGAGAACCTGAACTCTCTTTTAGGAACCTGATATATACTATACGTCTATCTCAAGGAAGTATTATGCAACATTTAGAAACATCTGGAATAGTACAATAGCATGGTGGTAATAAGATCATCTCATAATGTTACCACGGTTATCACTTCAATATTTATTTATTTTATTTATTTATTATATTTTCTTTTTTAGTTTAATTTTTATTTTAGTTATATTATAAGTATATACATAAATTACAGTGGAATTAAAAAAACATAAGTATAATGGGGGAGCAGTACAACATGGGTTGTACAGTATTAAGGTTGAACAAGAGAACAGAGCTGTCAGGATTATGTCTAGTTGGCAATTATGTGTATTGCAATGGTAATTTCTTATCTATTTACATGATAATTTCCGATAAAACAGGTTTGATGGTACAATAAAAGCAGGTACTGTAAATATAGTAGGTAATACAAGAAATATTGATACTTCGACAAGAGATATTTTTAAATGATGATTTAAAGGAAGGGAGCGTAGTCTTTGCTCGGGTGGGTGGGGGTAAGTTGTTCCACACCTTCACACCGTGATATTTTATGTAGGTCTGGGACTGAGAGGAGCGCATGGGGGGGTGGTCTTAGTAGCTCTGGGTGCCTTAAGTTGTATCTCTGATTACTCCGGAACTGGAAATAATTATTGTCAAGCAAGTGATTGATAGATTTGCAAACAAAGAGGGCACAGCAGTAGGTGTTAGTATCTTCGAGTTTTAACATTTTCAATTTAGCAAATTATTCGTTTTGTGTGATCCCTTTTTTTCAAGTAGGTCATTGTCCACACAACTCTCTTTTGTGCAGTAACCAGATAATGTGTTTTTGAAGAGCCATGGGCCCCATAGTGTGTGACAGTGTATCAGGTGTTAGTAAACAAGATCATGATAGATTTCTTTCATTGCTGTGAGAATGAGTGGCTGTCGAGTGGGATACATGATACTGCACTGTTTATTGACTTCACTGTGAATGGCTTGTATGTGGTTTCTCCAGTTAAGTTTCTCATAAACAATAACTCCGAGGAATTTAGTATTTTGTTCGCGTTTGTCCGGTTAAACAAAGGTGAAATAACAAAGGTACTTAAATTATTCAACAAGGAACGAATTTGTAGCAATGGTTTTAAATTGGATAAATTTAAATTTGGGCACGAAGTAGGTAAGCACTGGTTTGGAAATAAGAGTAGTGGATGAATGGAACAAGTTACCGAACTAAATCGGGGGTTGGGTGTAAACTGGTCTGGTCAGTATGGGCCAATAGACCCGCTGTCGTTTCCTCCATTCGTATGTTCTTATGAGCATTGAGGGAGTTATCGGATGATACGTACTGTATAGTAGCGATATTAATATTTAAACCGGTACTAAAGCATAGTGTCAACCTTCACTGGTCTAATAGTTAGCAGAAGGTAAAGTTTAAAGACCACGAGTTTACCATAGTTACTACTCTTACTGTCGGTAATAGAGACGGTAATTCACAGGCAAGATATTTCATATTTATAGAACTAGTGCATACCATTCAAAAACAGTACATAAAGGTTAAAGATACGTGGTGGAATGCAAAAATAAAGTAACCTAAATATTTTGGCTGTTTTTAATTAGAAGAATTTTATCAGTTTTTATTTGAATGTTTTTTTATGAATCTGTTTAAGAAGTGATCTTATATTACAGTTCGGTATTATATGCAAAGAAAAGTTATATACAAGACAAAAATCTCACACAGTGACAAGGTAACCAAGAAGAGGAGGTCTATGCCTCAGCAGCTGCAAACATGATGAAAGGATATCCCTGGAGGCCATAACCACCGTGGAGGCCATAGCCTGGGAAGCCAAGACTGCTGTAGGCCAAAGGGGCTCCAGCAAGTGCAGGAGCGTGAAGACCGTAGGCACCGTATGGGAAGGTGTTGGTGTAGAGGGGAGACAGTCTGCCGTCGATGGTGGAGAGGAGGCCGGTGTAGGTGGAGATTTTACCATCCAGGTCGGTGTCGGGGGCGGCTTCAGCACGAGCTGCAGCGGCGTCAAAAGCAGCCTGGAAGTTAGCCTTGGCAGCAGCGACTTCTGCAGTGTCTTCAACAGGGAGGGGAGCTCCTTCGGGAAGAATCACCTGTGGGACCTCGTCAGCAGCAGCAGCGGCGGCGGCGGCCTCGAAGGCTGCCTTGAACTCTGCTTTGGCTTTCATCACTTCCTCAGTGTCTGTCACGGGGACCGGAGCATCCGCAGGAAGAGCGGCGGCGCACGCGGCGCCCACCAAAGCAATGAGTACCTGAAGATACAAGTCATTTGTATGATACTCTGATGATACATGTTAAGACCAATGTCTTTTATTGTTACTATCTGGGGAACCCAGTACACTGGACCAGTGGTGGCCATACTAAGTAAGGTGAACTACTTCTTCCAGGCTCCCTAACTAGATTCACCATCTCCCGCCACTCCTGTAATAAGAACAAAATCATTAATTCCAACCACTATGGTTACCTTACTGATGTGATGCTATAAAAAAAGTGGGTGACTAATGATCCCTTAACATAACAGATCGTGCACCAACTGTTGGCTACCGGCTTTTCTGTGCTGCAATCTACTAGAAATTGGGGTGTGATCGACGTTTTGGCTCCCTTTGCAGGTAGAATATCATCTACATTACAGTACTTTACTATACTATCCATTTTAGATGGGGAAGACGTACGTGGTGCATCCCCATCTCCATGTTAAATTTCGGCTTACTGTTTTCGAAAATTGCCAGAGATCACGAAAACATACAAACGCTGTTCGGTATAAATATGGATAGCGACGAAAGAAAACCTTAAATGAATGGTAATTAAACTTATTAACTAACCATCGCATCGTGTTCGTGTAAACGGGGGGAGGGGGGGTGGACTGCAACAGAAGGCAAGACTGAACTGGAGTTCTTTTTAAAATTAATATTATTTGACCACTGGTATGGTTGTATACACATGTGCTAGCTCAATAATATTAGGCTATGGAAATGTTTATCTGAGCGACATCTTCCTTGTTGAGTCCAAACACCTGGACCCCCCAGACTAATGTACTCCTGTAAAACACGTACTCCTACGACGTGGCATACTTCCACCGTTTTAGTGTATACTGGACAGATGGTACAATTTTTAGTGTAAAAACCTGCGAATATCTTGCAGCTTCTCTGAAACATATTTTGCGTGTACAAACAATCGGGGACTGCCCGATGGAGGTTCACGTTGCTTAAAAAAAACTAATAAACAGACTTTGTGTGAAATAAAACAGTAAGATTGCTTTTGTTGTCCTTGTGGCGCGGTGGTAACGATTCCCGACTTGTGAATAAGATCAAAGCTGTACAGTATTTCATAAAGCGAAATGGCAGCACTGTCAGGAAGACTGTTCACATGTTCACTAGACAAAACTAGAGAGGCACTTACGAGAACCTTCATGTCTGGGGTCGGTGTGTGAGCTAATGTACAGATGGTAGGAAGACGCTGCTCTTCTTATATATTCGGCGGGGCCACGATACCGCTACTGCCAGTCACCACGCCCTTGGGACCTTCTGTGATCGCTCCCCTGTTTATAATTATAATGATCCTTTCATTCAGTCAAATAAGAATACTAGATAATGCTTGAAATATACTGCATGATTACATTAAATATAGAATATTTATGAAAAGAGTATGTTATGTGGGTGTCCTCGGGAAGAGGGCGTGGTCACTACTGCTGGTGTTAGTATCTTCATTCTTCACTCTACGCGGTGGAGCTGTGTATAATGCCTACAGTGATATTTAGTATTGGAATTATAAAATGATTCTAATTTATACAACGTGAAACACTATGAAGTATTGTGTGTAGGAACAATAGATATGTGTGCTTATTACCGACTTACTCTAAGTATAGTATTGTATACCGCCTTGTCGTCCTTAAATGTTTTAAGTAAACTTTTAAAAGAGTTCAGACGATTTATTTCCACTTCCAAGAAATATTTTTCGATCCAGAATTTATCTCTAGAATTTAATATTTCTATTCGCCTCGGTTAAAAAAATCGAAAGTGATTTTTAAATATTCTATTTGTCTTGGTAAAAAAATCGAATTAGGGAGTTGAAAATGCCATTCAATTGTTTTTAATAACTGTAAAGTAGTCACCTTCCTCAATTCAATTTTAAATATCAGTTTCTCGGACTCATATTTTAGAATTTAACACCCAGAACTTCAGCGTTGTATTTCCACACTAGACGATAGAAATGTCGTTCAGTTCAGGAACACCACAACCATAGCCTCACCTGGACCATTTACGAATTTACTTTGATCATGTATACCACTTGTAGGCAAGAGTTTCTCCTAAACGTGGCTTTTTTATAATAATAAATAATAATAATAAAATGAATTGTTTATTGAAATTTATTTCGGCTATAAACTGAAAATTAAGATACACTTGTGGTACATTTTTAACGTACTCACATAGGGGAGAATCGCTTAACAGATTTCAGCGAAGTTACAATAAATAGAAATAGGCGAGGACTGCAGGCACAATTTATTTACTAAACGCTGATTATTTTAACAATGGCTGGAAGGGGACTGTTCTTGTCGCGATCAGTGGTGGTTGTGGTGAGTTAACGGTGCTGATCCGAGTTAAGAAAGCCAGAGTAAGGAGCTCCTCCTGGCGTAGAACTAAGTCTTTTACGCTCTCTCCGGTGTGGATTTCATTATAAACAGGAACAGTTGCGGAGTAGTGATAATTTCTCCATGCTGTACTGTATATGTATTTTCTTTGATAATTGAAACTGATTCGTTTGTTAGGACAATCTTGTAGATAAGAATACTAGTAACACTCTAAATTGATAGTATTATTATTAAGCTAATGTAATCTTACCCTTTTTAGGCGTAATTTGTTTGCAATAAACTGCAACTTAAAAAATCAAATTTTCGTACAGGTATATACACTGATTTCCAATAAATTATAGTTGTTCATATTTGGCAAGAATGTAATATGTGAGGTGATTTTAATTATTAATGCATAATCGGATGAGTGATATACATGTATGTATGTATGTATGTATGTATGTATATATATATATATATATATATATATATATATATATATATATATATATATATATATATATATATATATATATATATATATATATATATAGTAGATGAAATATCACTATACAATTGCCCACTTATATTAAAACATGGAAATTGAAACATAATCTGAACAACTAAAAGAACAGTACAAAGACAGATTTAAATATTCCAACTTTTCTACAGTACGGAATATACTAAACTGTATATATAGTAGTTAAACAAGATGCAGCGTTAGTAATTTATACAAGTTTGTCGTTTATGGTTCACTTTGCATATACATTTTGTTAATCATACATTTTTTACATTTATTTATTTGTTGTGGCAAGTCACGAAATAACTTTTAAAAGAAGCATCATAGTTCAAAGATTCCCTGTAGTTAAGTATGTAAGAGGCCTTCCACTTCTACATCACGGGGCTGAGGTGCTGTAATATGTAACTGCTAACTTTGGGGTATTTAGTGACTTCAGTAAGTGTGAAGCCCAGTTCATTCAGGAAGTTCAGAGCTTTAGCGCCCCCAGTCTTAAAGCTAATCAGGACAAAATAATATTTGTTGATCTGGGTCCTGCACCCTGACACCACCTGTTTTTCTTCAGTTTGCCACCTGCTGAGGGGTGGATTTTAGGGTCAAGCACAGGTGTAATCCCTCCACCTGTTTGCCACCCATCTAGACTCTAAAACAACAGTAAGGCGCTTGTTGGCTGATCTGTTAATTTGCAGTTCCCTATGGAGTACACTCTTGGCGGTCAAGCTACTCTTGATGATGTAAATTTCATCATATCTCGTATGCTATAACCCACGGGTAGATAAGAGATAATCGTCGACTAAGCTTTAAAAAACAAACGGCGTTTTCGTCAAATATGGTATAATTTTTTATTGTTTTTTATATAACTTGTGGAAATTAATTGTTACATGGTAAAATGTGCTCTTGCTTCTTTTAAAGTCGTTTACGATCATAAGATGAACGCGGCGGTCTAGTGGATAACGCTCGCCTCCCGTTCCAGGGGTCAGTTGTTCGATTCCTGGGCGCTCCCAGTTCACCCAGCTGTAAATGGGTACCCAAGTTTATAACTAGAAGTGAATGCGGTTGAGTGCAGTACCGGCCATGCTGCCTCCTTGTGAACTGAAGGCTTAGTATAATGTGCTGTATCCAAACTGTCCCTAACGGGCAGTCATGCCTATGGGACCTACTTTTTTTTCACCATAAGATAGACAGATTATTTCTACAGTAGGTTACGTTTGGGTAGGTTTTCATTAAATGAAACTATTCATATTTACATTTAAATGTATCATGATGACTTGCATTATCGTTGACGGCCAGAAGTTTCCCAAAAAGAGGAATACTATATAGCAATACGATCTTTAGGTTGACACAACACTGACAAGCAACGTATTGACAAGACAACACGAGTTACCTAAATGTTTGTCTTCTCGTCAGTGTGGAGACTGACACCAGGGAACAGTTGTACAATTGTTACTCACGTTAAGTGTAAACAAAGTGTAATTGATGGATAATGACTGGTCAGATGTACTGTATTGATATCCGCCTATACAAATAACATGAGAGATAATCTTAAGTCACTTTCCTGACAATTAATAGTTAATAAACTGCTGTAGTATAATGTCAACCCTGCAGTGACTTAAAAGTAATAAAGATAAATGTTAAAATTCGAAAAGGATTTTCATATTTAAAGTACTTGAATACCGTTAAAACATAGAGCATCAGGGTGATGGAATACGAAAATAAAACGTTTGCAGCTTTAATTTGAAGAAATTTAGTACAAAATTTTCATTTGAATAATGTTTGTTTTTCATGCTGTTTAAGAAGTGATTTTACAATGCAGTGATATTTACAAAGGAAGGTTATATACAAGACAAAAATCTCACACAGTGACAAGGTAACCAAGTAGAGGAGGTCTATGCCTCATCAGCTGCAAACTTGATGAAAGGATATCCCTGGAGGCCATAGCCACCTTGGAGGCCATAACCACCGAAGAGGCTATTACCATAACCACCGTGGAGGCCATAACCTGGGAAGCCAAGACCGCTGTAGGCCAAAGGGGCTCCAGCAAGTGCAGGAGCGTGAAGACCGTAGGCACCGTATGGGAAGGTGTTGGTGTAGAGGGGAGACAGTCTGCCGTCGATGGTGGAGAGGAGGCCGGTGTAGGTGGAGATTTTACCATCCAGGTCGGTGTCGGGGGCGGCTTCAGCACGAGCTGCAGCGGCGTCAAAAGCAGCCTGGAAGTTAGCCTTGGCAGCAGCGACTTCTGCAGTGTCTTCAACAGGGAGGGGAGCGCCTTCGGGAAGAATCACCTGTGGGACCTCGTCAGCAGCAGCAGCGGCGGCGGCGGCCTCGAAGGCTGCCTTGAACTCTGCTTTGGCTTTCATCACTTCCTCAGTGTCTGTCACGGGGACCGGAGCATCCGCAGGAAGAGCGGCGGCGCACGCGGCGCCCACCAAAGCAATGAGTACCTGAAGATACAAGTCATTTGTATGATACTCTGATGATACATGTTAAGACCAATGTCTTTTATTGTTACTATCTGGGGAACCCAGTACACTGGACCAGTGGTGGCCATACTAAGTAAGGTGAACTACTTTTTCCAGGCTCCCTAACTAGATTTACCATCTCCCGCCACTCCTGTAATAAAAACAAAATCATTAATTCAAACCACTATGGTTACCTTACTGATGTGATGCTATAAAAAAGTGGGTGACTTATGATCCCTTAACATAACAGATCGTGCACCAACTGTTGGCTACCGGCTTTTCTGTGCTGCAATCTACTAGAAATTGGGGTGTGATCGACGTTTTGGCTCCCTTTGCAGGTAGAATATCATCTACATTACAGTACTTTACTATACTATCCATTTTAAATGGGGAAGACGTACGTGGTGCATCCCGATCTCCATGTTAAATTTTGGCTTACTGTTTTCGAAAATTGCCAGAGATCACGAAAACCTACAAACGCTGTTCGGTATAAATATGGATAGCGACGAAAGAAAACCTTAAATGAATGGTAATTAAACTTATTAACTAACCATCGCATCGTGTTCGTGTAAACGGGGGGAGGGGGGGTGGACTGCAACAGAAGGCAAGACTGAACTGGAGTTCTTTTTAAAATTAATATTATTTGACCACTGGTATGGTTGTATACACATGTGCTAGCTCAATAATATTAGGCTATGGAAATGTTTATCTGAGCGACATCTTCCTTGTTGAGTCCAAACACCTGGACCCCCCAGACTAATGTACTCCTGTAAAACACGTACTCCTACGACGTGGCATACTTCCACCGTTTTAGTGTATACTGGACAGATGGTACAATTTTTAGTGTAAAAACCTGCGAATATCTTGCAGCTTCTCTGAAACATATTTTGCGTGTACAAACAATCGGGGACTGCCCGATGGAGGTTCACGTTGCTTAAAAAAAACTAATAAACAGACTTTGTGTGAAATAAAACAGTAAGATTGCTTTTGTTGTCCTTGTGGCGCGGTGGTAACGATTCCCGACTTGTGAATAAGATCAAAGCTGTACAGTATTTCATAAAGCGAAATGGCAGCACTGTCAGGAAGACTGTTCACATGTTCACTAGACAAAACTAGAGAGGCACTTACGAGAACCTTCATGTCTGGGGTCGGTGTGTGAGCTAATGTACAGATGGTAGGAAGACGCTGCTCTTATATATTCGGCGGGGTCACGATACCGCTACTGCCAGTCACCACGCCCTTGGGACCTTCTGTGACCGCTCCCCTGTTTATAATTATAATGATCCTTTCATTCAGTCAAATAAGAATACTAGATAATGCTTGAAATATACTGCATGATTACATTAAATATAGAATATTTATGAAAAGAGTATGTAATGTGGGTGTCCTCGGGAAGAGGGCGTGGTCACTACTGCTGGTGTTAGTATCTTCATTCTTCACTCTACGCGGTGGAGCTGTGTATAATGCCTACAGTGATATTTAGTATTGGAATTATAAAATGATTCTAATTTATACAACGTGAAACACTATGAAGTATTGTGTGTAGGAACAATAGATATGTGTGCTTATTACCGACTTACTCTAAGTATAGTATTGTATACCGCCTTGTCGTCCTTAAATGTTTTAAGTAAACTTTTAAAAGAGTTCAGACGATTTATTTCCACTTCCAAGAAATATTTTTCGATCCAGAATTTATCTCTAGAATTTAATATTTCTATTCGCCTCGGTTAAAAAAATCGAAAGTGATTTTTAAATATTCTATTTGTCTTGGTAAAAAAATCGAATTAGGGAGTTGAAAATGCCATTCAATTGTTTTAATAACTGTAAAGTAGTCACCTTCCTCAATTCAATTTTAAATATCAGTTTCTCGGACTCATATTTTAGAATTTAACACCCAGAACTTCAGCGTTGTATTTCCACACTAGACGATAGAAATGTCGTTCAGTTCAGGAACACCACAACCATAGCCTCACCTGGACCATTTACGAATTTACTTTGATCATGTATACCACTTGTAGGCAAGAGTTTCTCCTAAACGTGGCTTTTTTATAATAATTAATAATAATAATAAAATGAATTGTTTATTGAAATTTATTTCGGCTATAAACTGAAAATTAAGATACACTTGTGGTACATTTTTAACGTAAAGTCGCATAGGGGAGAATCGCTTAACAGATTTCAGCGAAGTTGCAATAAATAGAAATAGGCGAGGACTGCAGGCACAACTTATTTACTAAACGTTGATTATTTTAACAATGGCTGGAAGGGGGCTGTTCTTGTAGCGATCAGTGGTGGTTGTGGTGAGTTAACGGTGCTGATCCGAGTTAAGAAAGCCAGAGTAAGGAGCGCCTCCTGGCGTAGAACTAAGTCTTGTACGCTCTCTCCGGTGTGGATTTCATTATAAACAGGAACAGTTGCGGAGTAGTGATAATTTCTCCATGCTGTACTGTATATGTATTTTCTTTGATAATTGAAACTGATTCGTTTGTTAGGACAATCTTGTAGATAAGAATACTAGTAACACTCTAAATTGATAGTATTATTATTAAGCTAATGTAATCTTACCCTTTTTAGGCGTAATTTGTTTGCAATAAACTGCAACTTAAAAAATCAAATTTTCGTACAGGTATATACACTAATTTCCAATAAATTATAATTGTTCATATTTGGCAAGAATGTAAAATGTGAGGTGATTTTAATTATTAATGCATAATCGGATGAGTGATATACTTGTATGTATGTATGTATGTATATATATTTATATATATGTATGTATATATATATATATATATATATATATATATATATATATATATATATATATATATATATATATATATATATATATATATATATATATATAGTAGATGAAATATCACTATACAATTGCCCACTTATATTAAAACATGGAAATTGAAACATAATCTGAACAACTAAAAGAACAGTACAAAGACAGATTTAAATATTCCAACTTTTCTACAGTACGGAATATACTAAACTGTATATATAGTAGTTAAACAAGATGCAGCGTTAGTAATTTATACAAGTTTGTCGTTTATGGTTCACTTTGCATATACATTTTGTTAATCATACATTTTTTACATTTATTTATTTGTTGTGGCAAGTCACGAAATAACTTTTAAAAGAAGCATCATAGTTCAAAGATTCCCTGTAGTTAAGTATGTAGGAGGCCTTCCACTTCGACATCACGGGGCTGAGGTGCTGTAATATGTAACTGCTAACTTTGGGGTATTTAGTGACTTCAGTAAGTGTGAAGCCCAGTACATTCAGGAAGTTCAGAGCTTTAGCGCCCGCAGTCTTAAAGCTAATCAGGACAAAATAATATTTGTTGATCTGGGTCCTGTACCCTGACACCACCTGTTTTCTTCAGTTTGTCACCTGTTGAGGGGTGGATTTCAGGGTCAAGCACAGGTGTAATCCCTCCACCTGTTTGCCACCCATCTAGACTCTAAAACAACAGTAAGGCGCTTGTTGGCTGATCTGTTGATTTGCAGTTCCCTATGGAGTACACTCTTGGCGGTCAAGCTACTCTTGATGATGTAAATTTCATCATATCTCGTATGCCATAACCCACGGGTAGATAAGAGATAATCGTCGACTGAGCTTTAAAAAACAAACGGCGTTTTCGTCAAATATGGTATAATTTTTTATTGTTTTTTATATAACTTGTGGAAATTAATTGTTACATGGTAAAATGTGCTCTTGCTTCTTTTAAAGTCGTTTACGATCATAAGATGAACGCGGCGGCGGTCTAGTGGATAACGCTCGCCTCCCGTTCCAGGGTCAGTTGTTCGATTCCTGGGCGCTCCCAGTTCACCCAGCTGTAAATGGGTACCCAAGTTTATAACTAGAAGTGAATGCGGTTGAGTGCAGTACCGGCCATGCTGCCTCCTTGTGAACTGAAGGCTTAGTATAATGTGCTGTATCCAAACTGTCCCTAACGGGCAGTCATGCCTATGGGACCTACTTTTTTTTCACCATAAGATAGCCAGATTATTTCTACAGTAGGTTACGTTTGGGTAGGTTTTCATTAAATGAAACTATTCATATAAACATTTAAATGTATCATGATGACTTGCATAATCGTTGACGGCCAGAAGTTTCCCAAAAAGAGGAATACTATATAGCAATACGATCTTTAGGTTGACACAACACTGACAAGCAACGTATTGACAAGACAACACGAGTTACCTAAATGTTTGTCTTCTCGTCAGTGTGGAGACTGACACCAGGGAACAGTTGTACAATTGTTACTCACGTTAAGTGTAAACAAAATGTCATTGATGGATAATGACTGGTCAGATGTACTGTATTGATATCCGCCTATACAAATAAGATGAGAGATAATCTTAAGTCACTTTCCTGACAATTAATAATTAATAAACTGATGTAGTATGTCAACCCTGCAGTGACTTAAAAGTAATAAAGATAAATGTTAAAATTCGAAAAGGATTTTCATATTTAAAGTACTTGAATACCGTTAAAACATAGAGCATCAGGGTGATGGAATACGAAAATAAAACGTTTGCAGCTTTAATTTGAAGAAATTTAGTACAAAATTTTCATTTGAATAATGTTTGTTTTTCATGCTGTTTAAGAAGTGATTTTACAATGCAGTGATATTTACAAAGGAAGGTTATATACAAGACAAAAATCTCACACAGTGACAAGGTAACCAAGTAGAGGAGGTCTATGCCTCATCAGCTGCAAACTTGATGAAAGGATATCCCTGGAGGCCATAGCCACCTTGGAGGCCATAGCCACCTTGGAGGCCATAACCACCGAAGAGGCTATTACCATAACCACCGTGGAGGCCATAACCTGGGAAGCCAAGACCGCTGTAGGCCAAAGGGGCTCCAGCAAGTGCAGGAGCGTTAAGACCGTAGGCCCCGTATGGGAAGGTGTTAGTGTAGAGGGGAGACAGTCTGCCGTCGATGGTGGAGAGGAGGCCGGTGTAGGTGGAGATTTTACCATCCAGGTCGGTGTCGGGGGCGGCTTCAGCACGAGCTGCAGCGGCGTCAAAAGCAGCCTGGAAGTTAGCCTTGGCAGCAGCGACTTCTGCAGTGTCTTCAACAGGGAGGGGAGCTCCTCCGGGAAGAATCACCTGTGGGACCTCGTCAGCAGCAGCAGCGGCGGCGGCGGCCTCGAAGGCTGCCTTGAACTCTGCTTTGGCTTTCATCACTTCCTCAGTGTCTGTCACGGGGACCGGAGCATCCGCAGGAAGAGCGGCGGCGCACGCGGCGCCCACCAAAGCAATGAGTACCTGAAGATACAAGTCATTTGTATGATACTCTGATGATACATGTTAAGACTAAAGTGTTTTATCTAAAGAAGAAAATGCTAAAAAGATAATTAAATTAACTACTGCATAACTCCAAGCTGTGTGTGACATACTTCACTGATTCAATGTACTGGACAGGTTATACAGTTTAACCCTTCGTGAATGATGCAATTAATCCATTTGTTATTTTAAGGACCTGGCCATCCCGGACTTTTTTATAAGCACACAAATTTTAAGCCAAAAATATTATACCGTTTAGGAGCAGCAAACTTGAAAGCGGTCCGTCTGTACCCCGCTCAGCCTTCCTTGTGCCTAATTTGATTTTTTTTTTTCAATTTTTAAAAATTTAGAATAATTTCACACCCACTAGAAAGGTTTTATGGCTCAATTAGGTTGGAAGATGAGGTCCAACCCTATGTGTCGTCAGATAATGAGACAAACATTGACTTATCCGATGCTAGTGCGTATGGAGTGGCTGTTCCTATCTTCTGACAGTGACTTAGTGCGAGTGATGAGGAGGATCAATGACAATATTGTGTTCGGGCGACGTAAATCTACAGTGTGGTGTACCGAGTCCTAGTAGACTTATCAGAACAGCCGTGCATACCACAAATCAGGCGACGTTTTTATTCTGGTATTATATTTCTGCCGAAGCATGTTGTAGTATGTTTGGAGGCATTTGTGGGATGATGGAGCTGCAGCAGCACCCAGCCTCAACCTCAAGAACCTTGGAAGAGAAGATGTAGAAAGTGTCCAAGGAAGATGGATAAGAAGAGAAAGTCCTGCGCAAAATGTGATGAGCCCGTTTGTGATCCTCAAACTTTGGTTATAATGATTGTATGGAGTAACGTTATAGTTGTTTTCTCTATAATAAAGTCACCTTTCTTCGTATGTGTTATTCATTGTTATGTATATGGCAGAAATCCACAGTCTTCGTTGTTAATCAACCCAACCTAGCGCACGAGAGGTTAATGTGAAAGTATGAAAGGCAATTGGTATATTTATGATAATTCTTAAGAGTATGTTACGTAAATTAACTGGTATCATTAATTTCGAAAGTAAACAAATACAAATAATCCCTGCATATATACGAATCATATATATATATATATATATATATATATATATATATATATATATATATATATATATATATATATATATATATATATATATATATATATATATATATATATATATATATATATATATATATATATATGTATTTCACAAAGCGAAATGATAGCACTGTCAGGAAGATTGTACACCTGTTTACAAGACAAAACTAGAGAGGCACTTACGAGAACCTTCATGTCTGGGGTCGGTGTGTGAGCTAATGTACAGATGATGGGAAGACGCTGCTCTTATATATTCGGCGGGGCCACGAGACCGCTGTGCTTCTTTCTCGGAAGGAAACTGCCCGTCACCACGCCCATGGTACCTCATTCGGCCCCGCCCACACCCAACAAAACAGCGTACTCAACGAACTACATAACAGCTTTATTGAAATACCATTTTTATAGAAGAAACCGATAATTAGTTTTGTAAATGTGAAATAATATTGGAAATATGACACCTAATGTGGGCGACCTCGGGTAACAGGCGTGGTCACTTCAGGTACTGTAGGTGTGGCCATCTGTGAGGACGATCACCAGCAGAATGTATTATGTGAACTTCTTAATGACTTAAGATTCAATTTAGTTGTTAATTCTCCGTGGATACTCGCCTTCATCTCGAACACTTTCTCGAGGATTAAGATTCAGTGAAGTTGAATCCAGTTTCTTTTCATTAAGGGGGAAAGTAATTACCCTTTTCATGGCCAACTACAGCGGAACAACAATTTCGAAACGAATTCACAAACGCCACCTAAAACTGTATCCTCAAAATAAAATAATCCATTTTTTTATGATTGTTTTTTTTTCTCGATATTTACCACTAAATTATAGAAGTATTATTTTATTATGATATTCGTAATTAAATACCATATTCTTGTTTCTTAAGTTACGTATATATTAAACCTATATAACTCCTGGCATGATACATCTACCCATTTGTTATCAAGGTTCTTATTTTTGTCGTGGGTAAAAATTAGTTTATAGTTTCTCCGATTGAATCACCCGTAGAGTTTACTTTGTGTTTTATTAGTTTACATTGTTTTAATAGTTTTCTTGGCGTTTTAGTAGTTTACGTTGTTTTAATAGTTTACTTTGTATTTTATTAGTTTACTTAAATTTGTATTAAATTTACTTGGCATTTTATGTCGAGTTTACTTGGCTGTTTATGTTGAGTTTACTTGGCATTTTACGTAGAGTTTACGTGGCGTTTTACGTCGAGTTTACTTGGCATTTTACGTAGAGTTTACGTGGCGTTTTACGTCGAGTTTACGTGGCGTTTTACGTCGAGTTTACGTGGCGTTTTATGTCGAGTTTACGTGGCGTTTGATGCCGAGTTTACGTGGCGTTTGATGCCGAGTTTACGTGGCGTTTGATGCCGAGTTTACGTGGCGCTTGATGCGAGTTTACGTGGCGCGTGATGCCGATGCGTGGCGTTTGATGCGCGTGGCGCGTGATGCCGAGTTTACGTGGCGTTTGATGCGTTTGATGCCGAGTGGCGTTTGATGCCGAGTTTACGTGGCGTTTGATGCCGAGTTTGATGCCGAGTTTACGTGGCGTTTGATGCCGAGTTTACGTGGCGTTTGATGCCGAGTTTACGTGGCGCGTTACCGAGGCGTTTGATGCCGAGTTTACGTGGCGCGTGATGCCGAGTTTACGTGGATGTGTATGCCGAGTTTACGTGGCGCGTGATGCCGAGTTTACGTGGCGTTTGATGCCGAGTTTACGTGGCGCGTTATTGGAGCCACGATCCCTAGAACGGCCTAAAGATGGATGTGTAAACTGGACAACTCATTAAAACGATGATGCCTTAGCCGAAGCACGAGGATAATAATGGAGTGGACGAAGTAAGGACTTAACAGATGAGAGGGGAAGACAAATAACATATATCAAAACTAAACAGCAAATCTTAACACATTACCACCACTTTGTATGTTCCCGGGTCGTGTGTGTGTGTGTGTGTGTGTGTGTGTGTGTGTGTGTAAGAGCCACAAGTGGTATGGTGTACACAATACTTGGCTGGGTGTGGTGGAGTGTGAGTAAGGAGGAATTCCAGAGAGGATTCTGTACTGAATACCAAGCCATCGGACACACTAGGATGCTGCAGGAGTGACACTGTACTTGACTCCCATTCACTTCCCCATTTGTAAAGATAGATTACTACTATTTCCTATTATCTGGGATGATTGGGAGTATATATATATTGCGCGTGTGTTTAATATCTATATTTATAAGTAACAAATATATAAGACATATACAGTATAAACCTCAAGTGTTCTCATGTATATAAAACATTTAGGACAACTCACCATTTCTCCTCGCTGATGACGTATACTGGTAATAACACGATCATAACATTTAAACAATAGATTTTATTATCAACTTATATATACAACATTCTCACGGCGAGACAATGTGCACGCCTAGATATGATAGTTAACTGAACCATTAGGAAGAGGTCCATGTTAGCCAAGACCATGGTAGGCCACGGATCCGGGCACGAAAACAGGACCCGGGGCCACTATGGGACCGGGGGCCACCAGATGCCCTGGAGCTACAAATGGGGCGTGGATGCCATAAGCCCCGTATGGGAGGGTGTTGGTGTACAGCGGGGACAGAGCTCCGTCGACGGCAGACAGATAGCCAGAATATGTGGAGATGGAGCCATCCAAATCGAAGTCTGGGGCGGCCTGAGCAGCGGCAGCGGCGGCTTCATAGGCGGCCTGAAATTCAGCTTTGGCCTGGGCGACTTCAGGAGTGTCCATTACTGGCTCAGGTGCCGCCTCTATGACGGGCTCTTCCACGACCTCCTCCTCCACCGGGTCTACGACAGTCTCGGCGGGAGCTTCGGTTACCTCAACGGGGGCATCAGTTACCTCAACGGGGGCATCAGTTACCTCAACGGGGGCATCAGTTACCTCTTCAGGCTGTTCTGTAACAACTTCATCATCAGCAGCTTCAGCAGCAGCGGCGGCAGCGGTGTTATAGGCTTCAAAGAACTCTGTCTTGGCAGCGGCGACTTCAGGCGTGTCCATGACAGGCTTTGGACCGACGAGGACGGCAGCAGCTGGAGCGTCAGGACCCACGGGGAGGTTGTTGCTTCTCACCTGGAAGCCGTCGACGCCGGCCGTATACTCCACGTGCACGGGGTTGTTGTCGGCGTCGATGTAGGTGTAGGTGCCGGCCACATTACCAAAGGCATCGCGGATTTCGTTCTTGGCTTGACCAGGATGAGCAAAACCATAGTTGACTTGGCCTAGCTCATCCTGGGCGTGGTACTGGCTGGCATAGGTGACAGGAGCCACAGGCGCATGAAGACCCACTACGGTGCCAGAGTAGCCGGAATAAGGCAACACGTAGGAGGGAGCCGCGCAGGCAGCACCTACAAGAGCCAAAACCACCTGTGGGAGGGAAAGATGAGTGAGACATAAAATGGAGACTAGAAATATTATGATCCTCTTGTCAACACAACTACGTAAGGTGACTACCGTGAACTGTATTTCAACAAACGCTGTTGACTTACAAACGCCTTCATGTCTCTGTTCGACTCCGTGAGTTATTGTGTACCTGTATGTCCCGCTCACGCCCTTATATAGCTCTCCCCCCCCCCTTTCCCACGGTGTGCCACGTACCGTGATTGTACGTATATTATTTACTGCGTCTATCTTATCATAGTTTAACGTAATTTCTGACCCGGTATATCTTGGTGGCCTGCAGCTTGATTTAATGTTTCTGACTTGCAGAGGCGAATAATGTCGTAGTTTGAATATTAATGCATTAATATCAGGAAGGGGGTAGCAAAGAGAGAGAAGAGAGAAATAACCTTCTCTTGTCGGGCGTGGTCCTGCCAGGGTTATGGCGATGAGGGGTTGAGAAGGTCGTCTCAGCCACACCATACAGTCTCAACATCTCCATGAGTTTTTCTCTCATCTCATCTTCACGTCTCTCTCTCTCTCCCCTTCTCTTCTCTCTCTCTCTCTCTCTCTCTCTCTCTCTCTCTCTCTCTCTCTCTCTCTCTCTCTCTCTCTCTCTCTCTCTCTCTCTCTCTCTCTCTCTCTCTCTCTCCCCTTCTCTCTCTCTCTCTCTCTCTCTCCTCTCCTTCTCTCTCTCTCTCTCTCTCTCTCTCTCTCTCTCTCTCCTCTCCTCCTCTCTCTCTCTCTCTCTCTCCTCTCTCTCTCTCTCTCTCTCTCCTCTCTCTCTCTCTCTCTCTCTTTCTCTCTCTCTCTCTCTCTCTCTCTCTCTCTCTCTCTCTCTCTCTCTCTCTCTCTCTCTCTCTCTCTCTCTCTCTCTCCCTTCTCTTCTCTCTCTTTCTCTCTCTCTCTCTCTCTCTCTCTCTCTCTCTCTCTCTCTCTCTCTCTCTCTCCTTTCTCTCCTTCTCTCTCTCTCTCTCTCTCTCTCTCTCTCTCTCTCTCTCTCTCTCTCTCTCTCTCTCTCTCTCTCTCTCTCTCTCTCTCTCTCTCTCTCTCTCTCTCTCTCTCTCTCTCTCTCTCTCTCTCTCTCTCTCTCTCTCTCTCTCTCTCTCTCTCTTGTTACACGATACTTAATATAACTTCTGGGTGCTTCACATATAAAATCAACAATACAACCTTCATATAACTCATGGAGGGATATCGTGTTATTAGGAGTGGTTTAAAGGTGATTAAGCGAACATCGAGTTGCCCTAGAGATAATTATGGATTCATGGGGCCTGTCGAGTGTTACCGCTGTTAACACACTTTCCTCACGTACTCTGAGCTGCCTTCCATGAATTCTATATTTATTAATTATCCATCCATTTATTTATCTATTTACTTAACCTAACCTAATGGGCCCTTGTCCTAATAGGCTCCCAAACTGAACTAACCAGTCCCTTTGAATTAGTTACGATTAATGGGGATATTAGAACTGGAGCTGAAGCCCATTAGGATAGGTTGGGGGACTATTAGAAATAGGATCCATCTGACAGGTTATTAAGTCTAGTTCGGATTAATGACCTTTTAAGCTTTTGTAAATGGATTAAAATTTCCAGGTTGAACTGAGTCGCATGTTATAATCGAGGGACTCTGTCTGGGCTTACGAATGAGTGGGGCATCATATCAGATTATTGAATTAACTTGTTTTATATTGAGTTTATTGTGGATTAGTGATTTGCTTACGGATAATATAACATTGTGAATTGTGATGTGTTTTGTCGTGTTGATATGTGAAGTCTGTAACGTGTATTAGGTCTTATGTGTTCTATAATGTGTTTTATGTATTCTGTAATTTATATAAAGTAGGTATATATTG